TGACCTTGATTTGGTCAATAAACTCATGATCCCAACCCAAAAAGTCAAACAGGCCTTGGATAAAATCAATCCAGACAATCGGCAAGATACTGAAGGGGAAATTAAAGGAGAATCAGGTTAGCTAACATTTGGTGACAGTGCTAGAAGGGCACACCGGCACAATAAATGTAACCATCTAAGGCAAAATAAATGATGACAGTCGGCAGCAGAAAAGGATGCTGTAGAGCATCCCTGGCCACTGGATGATCAAACAGTTGAAGGGGAACCTCAAGCAGGCTAAGCAAGGTCAGGCCCCATCTTCAATCAGTGGCAAGCTGATCGAGACATCGCCAAAGTTTTCTTAAAATAAATTGATTTTTTTCCCCCATTTTTAATGAGTATGCTTCGGTGATAAATTACTGATGGGTTAATATTTATACTTACATATTTCAAACTATTACTCAGCTAGGCGTCTTTGTTGAGTAAATCATTTGAACAACAAATTGAACATTTGTTTATTAGGGGAGTCTGATTGAAACATTTCTTCTCATATACTGAAATTAATCTAAAGTATATAACTGGCAAATTCGGTAACGAGGTGAAAAATTTAAGTTTATGCTGTGCCCTGTGGAACAGTAGAACTGGAGACAGTTCATGCCCCCAATCTCATGATGGGTATAAATAAGGTTAATGGCAGGTGTCTTTTCCCTAGGATGGGGAGTTCAAGACTAGGGGGCATATTTTTAAAGGGGAGAGGAGAGAGATTTTAAAAAAAGACAAGGGGCAACCTTGTCACACAGAGGGTGGCTTGCATGTGCAATGAACTTCCTGAGGAAGTGGTGGATGCTGGCACAGTTACAACATTTAAAAGACACTCAAATAAGTACATGAGTGGGAAAGGTTTGTAGGGACATGGGCCAGGAGCAGGCAGTTGAGACTAGTTTAGTTTAGGATTTTGTTCTGCATGGACTGGTTGGACTGAGAGTCAGACAACACAGAAACAGACTTGTGTTATTACACACCTCTGGAGCAGGTGGGACTAAAACCTGGGCTTCCTAGCTCAGACCTAGGGACACTATCACTGCCCCACAAGAGTTCCAAGGGATGATATACAGAATGATGTAACATTGATATCAATTGTCACAAGCTGTTGACACTGAGAAGAAAGAACAGAATAACTCAGCTCTCACGTACAGACAGAAAGACCAGTATTTTGCACACCGGTATGTAAATAAAATGTTTATTGGAACACCTGAGAGATAGGCAAGTCATGTTTTCCATAAGGCAGATGCAGAGCAAACAACAGACTCAGAATAGGCACAGTTTAGTCTACGACAGCAGTCTCCAAAGTTCAGACTGAACCCAGCCCAGTGTCCTGGTGACTTGAATATTTAGATCTGTAGAAAAAGACTTTAAACCAATTATAGGAGGTATATTCAGAAGAGAAGTACATCTTGCAAGATATGGTGGCACTGTCAGACAGCTATTTTGATAATTATACAAGAATGGGCAGTGTTGTAGCAGCAAATACAGTCCAAGGGGGGAACTGATTAAAAGGCATAATTGATGGCTCTTTACTTAAATGAACACAGTAAATGGGAACAAGATTAATGAATTAACACCACAAATAGAGATTAATGTATATGAGTTTATAGCCAATTCTGAGATATAGTTACAAGGAGATCGAAGCTGGGACGTAAATATTGAGAGGTATAGTGACTATACAAAAGGACAGACAGGAAGCAAAGGGTGGTAGCACAGCTTTATTCATTCAAGATACAATAAGCATGATATCAAGAAATGATGGATGATGTGACATTCATATAGATGGAGGTAAGAAATAACAAGGGGAAGAAGGCACTGTTAGGCAGTAGTACACGGTATTCCTTACTGTAGCTGTTCTGTAGGATAGAGAATAGATTAAGAGACAAATGACAACGTGTAAAAGGCAGTTCATTAAGCATGAGTGGCTTTAATCTTCATGTAGATTGCCAATTTCACTTTTCTAGAGGGAGCCCTAGGGAAGAATTCATAGAATGTATGCAAGAGATCCAGAAACAACCGTGCTAAACTTGAGTTATACAGGGGTGAGGGCAGAGTTGGCTGGAGTGGACTGGGAAAGGAGTTTACCAAGAAATGCAGTTAAAAGAAGAATGGCAGATGCTCAAGAAAATGTTATAATCCCATATAATTTGACTGTGAGTTATATGTCAGAGGCAATGGCCTAGTGGTATTATTGCTGCAGTATTGATCCAGAAACTCAGCTAATGTTTTGGGAACCTCGGTTCAAACCCTGCCACGGCAGAAGGTGGAATTTGAATTCAATTTTTTAAAAAATCTGGCATTAAAAAGGGGTCTAATGATGGCCATTGCCAATCGTTGGAAAAACCCATCTGGGGAAGAAAATCTGTTGTCCTTACCAGATCTGGCCTATATGGGACTCCAGACCCAGAGCAATGTAGTTGCCTCTTAACTGCCCTCTGGGCAGTTACAGATAGGCAATAAATGCTGGCCTAGCCAGAGCCACCCATATCCTATGAGTGAATAAATTAAAAAAAAACCCAGTGAGGAAGAAAGATCTATGGGATAAATCAACCAAGGGTAGAGTCAAATTGAAAAGAATAAACATTATGTGGCAAGGATTACTGGTAAGCCAGGGTACTTGGTAGTTTCAAAAGCCAATAAAAGATGATCACAAATAGAGAAAATAAAACTTGCAAATACTATTTAAAAAGTCAACCATATAAAAAGAGAAGTGATACCAAAGTAAACATTGGTCACTTTTTGGACACGGCTGGGGAAATAATAATGGACAACTTTAAAAGTGGCAAAAGAGCTGAGGGGACACTTTGCATCAATCTTCACAGCAGATGACATTGATTGAATTCTAAAAAAAAATTAAAATCATCAAAGGGCTAAAAAGGTGGGGGTGGAAATAAACACGATTACTGCCACTACAGAAAAAGTACTAGGGATCCATCCTAGAACTGACAGGAGGTAGCTACAGAGATAGTGTGTGCATTGGTCGTAATCTTCCAAAAATCCTTGGATTCTAAAGAATTTGCAAAAGTCTGAAAGATTGGAAGACTGACAATGTAACACCATTATTTTAAAAGGAAGATGACATAAAAACATCTAACTATATGCCGATTAGCTTAACATCTGTCACTGAAATGTCAAAGCCGATTATGAAAAGATGTAATAGTAGAGTATTTAGAAATACATAATAAGATCAAGCATAGTCAACATGAATTCATAAAAGAAACAATGCTTGACACGTGTTACAATTTTCTGAGTAAATAACAAACAGGACGAATAAAGTGGAATCAATAGATCTGATCAGATAACAAACAAGAGAATACATGATGAATTATAGGATGCTGGGAAGCACCAAGAATCAGAGAGACCTTGGGGTGCATGTACACCAGTCCCTTAAGGCATCAGGACAGGAGGTTAAAGTGGTTAAGGAGGCCTATGGGATACTTTATTGATAGAGGCAGAGAGTTTAAAAAGGGAGGGAGGTTATTGCTAGAACTGCATAAAACATTGGTTAAGCCACAGCTACAGTATTGTATGCAATTCTAGAATCCACATGATGGGGCAGTGGCAGGCAGGGTATGTAATAACACTGGAGAGGATGCAGAGGAGATTTACCATGCCATTGCCTGGACTGGAGAGTTTCAGTTACAAAGGGAGATTGGGCAAACTGCAGAGGGATATAAACAGGTTAAGTGAACAGGCAAAACCTTGGCAAATGGAATGTAAAGCGGAAAAATATGAGAGGTTATGCACTTTGGCAAGAAGCGGAGGAGCTGAATACTATTTAAATGGTGACTTAAGCTACAGAATAGAAGGATTTGGTGTCTTTCTGCATGGAAGTTAGCATTTTGTGATTCAAGCTCAGCAAGTGACAGGGAAGGCAAATGGATTGTTGGCCTTCACGTCAAAGGAAATGTAGCATAAAAATAGGAAGGTCTTATGAAAACTACACAAGGCACTGGTCAGACTACAGCTGGAATACACTGAACTGTTTTAGGCCCCTTATCGAAGGAAAGATATACTGACATTGGAGGCAGTCCAGAGAAGGTTCACTAAGCTGATTCTGGGTATGAAGGGATTTTCTTATGAGGAGACATGGAGCAGGTTAGAAAAATCAGAGGCAACCTTATTGAAACAGAAGATTCTTGAGACTTGACAGGGTTGTTTCCCACTTGTGGAAGAGTCTAGGACCAGAGGATCTGTAACAAATCAATCATTTCAAAGACAGATGAGGAGGAATGTTTTCTCTAAGAATTGAATTCTTTACTACAGAAGTCTGTAGAAGTTGAGTTGTTAAATATATTCAATGCCAAGGCACACAGTTTTAACCAGTAAGGGAATAAAAAGGATAAGGTAGTCAAGGGCAGTTGTGGATTAGCAAATCAGCCATGACTCCAATGAATGACAAAGCACAGTCGAACCAAATTGCTTACTGCTTCCATGTCTTACGGTCAGATGCTCAGAAGTCAAAGCAGAAAGCATCCAGCAGCACGAGGAGATAGCAATGACTGCAGATGCTGGAGTCAGAGTCAATACAGTGTGGAGCTGGAGGAACACAATAGGTCAGGCAGCATCAGAGGAGCAGGAAAGTCGGCCTTTCGGGTTAGGACTCTTCATTAGGACTGGGGAGGGGAAAAGGAGCTGGAAATAGAAGAGGGGTGGGGCTGAGGAAGGTAGGTGGGATGGTGATAGGTGGATGCAGGTAGGGGGTAGTGGTGATTGGTCAATGGGAAGGGTGGGACAGATTGGTGGGAAAGATGATGGACAGGTTGTAGCAGGTCAAGGAGATGGAGATTTTGAAACTGGTGAATTCATGTTCATTTCTTTCCCACCTATCCACTCTACCATTCCCACTGACCAATCCCCCTTACCTGCAACAACCTATCACTATCACACCCACCTTCCCAATGTCCCACCCCTCCTCCCTCTAGTTATTTCCCAGCTCCCTTCCCCCTCCCCAATCCTGATGAAGGATCCCTGACCTGAAACATTGCCTTTCCTGCTCCTCTGATGCTGCCTGACCTGCTGTGTTCTTCCAGCTCCACACTGTATTGATCCAGCACTTGCTGATGAAGTGTCATATCCATGGTGTAGGCCTAACTCATCCAATCTCATAACAATAGGTGTTGCAAAACAAAAATCAATAAACTGCACAACATACGCCAATTTGAATATATAGCTGTTCCAAATTCACAAACTTCATCATTCTGCAGGAACAATGTAGAATGGCAGTGTGGCGGAAAATGAAAACAATACTTTCCATCATCAATATTCTCCCAGGAGAAGGCGATGCCTTGATTAATTAAAAAAGGGAAAGATGATAGATGACCACAACCAGCACATAGGTAATGTATTGCCAAAGTAAAATGTCCACGTATAACATTGATAGCATGTACAACCCCCAGAAATTATTGATGCATACCTAGATCAGAGAATACATCAAAGCTCAAACACCAAGAGTCATGACAGGGAGATGGAAAGATGCCCCAAAATCAGACCAATAATCTAACCAGGAACAACATAACCAGATCGCAAATAAAACAGAGTCTAAGATAAAAGTAAGCTTAACAACCAGCATTCTAAAGGCATTCCACAGTCTTGAACCAAAATTACCATAAACTAAGTCTGGGCATATTAGTAAACTACTGATATGCTTCAGATATCCAAATTTATTGCTTTGATATATTCAAACACAAGAAGTAATTTTCTTTTTATGTATTTACTTTTTTAAAATGTATAAACCTGAGAAAAGGGAGATGCTGTGATGTAATTTACCTGTGACTTTAAGGGGCATTTCATAAATAGCTGATCAGCACTATTGCCTCCCCTACCCCACAGAGAATGTAGTCAATAAGTAGCCTAATCTGTACTCTGAACACTGCATCAGTCATACAGGTCTGCAGAGCTTCCCAGCTGCCAATAAATGTATATCAGTCTTAAATTCAAACGAAGATTGTGCTACCAATCCTTGTTTGTAATAAACCGGAAGAAAATAATAGAGACTCCCAAGATTAAAGATCATGGATTTTGAGAAACTGAGAAAAAAGTCCAGGAGAAAACTGCAAGAGAATTCAGAAGCTTGTTTTAGGGTGTGGGTGTGTCTAATCAGAGGGGTTAAGGTGGCAGTTTTTTAATATTCAGGGGAAGCAATTCTCTTCCTCGTGCCCTTTTACTGCCGGTCTCCAAGGGGCAGGTCGAGGCGAGTAGAGGTCAGGTTTGAATGTTTGACAATGTTACATTTTCACGTCAAAGAAAACCAAGTTTAACATTCCCCAATTAAAACCTACCGAATGTAAAGCGTAGCAGGTCATTTTTTTTTTGCAACACCATGTTCTATGATCATGGGAGGGCCAGATCCAAGTGAAAAGGAGATTGCAACTGGTTTCAATAGTTACTGAAGCAAATAAAGGTGGGGGTGGGTGGAATCTAATGAGCAACCACTATGCAGTTATATTTCATGTCACCAACACATCTACTGGGAAGTAGGTGTCTGTCAATAGCAGTACCAGAGTCAATGTGAGGCCTTCCACATTTGAACTGCCTGTCTGCACAGGAAGAATCACTATCTTGAAGTACAGACAGGTCACCACAGCCTGCAAAACTCCAGCTTTGCTGAACTGTGTGTATTCTTGTGGACAGGAGGACATTAACACTGTTACATGCAGACCATCAGCTGAAACCAGACACTGATGAGGAATTTGTAATACAGTTAGCTCAGTGCAGTCTCTGTCTGTTGTACTACCTCAATACTGGGTTTGTCAATCCACATTATTAATAAAGTGCATGTTTAAAGGAGGCTTGATGATATAAGGCCTTTGTGGTAATGCTAAGCAGGATCAAAGTTCACTGACCTAGCCTGGTGCTCATAAGACACCTGAGGCCTCCAAGAGGGTGAATCACACTCCCACCCATGTAAGCAATGCAGCTGCCACCATTTTGAAAGGGCCTACAGGCAGATGTCAGAAATATTTGTCTTTTGTTTTCAGGTGATGAAACATCTGGCCCAGCCTGAACCATGATCTGGCAGGCCATTTTGCTTGGGTTCCCACAACTCGCCTGACAAAGTTAGACAAAGGGCAGCAGCTTAAAAATCAGAGGGAGAGAGGTGGGGGGTAGGAGCAATGGCACATGCATGTGATAGTAGGGTCACAGGCAGTGTGGAAAAGAGGGGAGAGATATTTTCATTGGTCAGTCAAAAGCCAAATTTCTGAGAGCACTGGACTTCAACTGACACGTTTTACTAGCAATTTGTAGGTTACAGGGCAATGCTGAGTGAAGAAGTACTCCATCAGTGTTCCACTGCCTGCAATAACTTTCTTTTGTTGCCCGACATTTTTAAAATTCCAGACATGCGCCCCTATCGTCTGGGAGAAAAACGGCTCGATACTGGACCTCTTCCAGTGTTGGAAGTAACTTTCCCAACTTGTGTAGGAGATTGGGTAGAAATAGTTGGGAGAGAGATAGGAAATGCCTTTGCATTGCAAATTGAAAAACTGGCTCAAATCATCAGACTGGCACCAACGCTTCAAGACCCTGCTCATCAGAGCCGGCCCCTGGTAACCCCAAGTACGTCCCTCATAGTTCCTGACGTAATCTTGCATGCACTCCCAAATAAATTCATGGCGTTTCTCAAATCCAAGTGCGGCATTATTGGCTGTCTGATATCCTTCAGCACAGAGGAAGTTCTGCAATCCTAAGGACTTTAATGAGATGATATCCGTGTCCAGGTAGATGCCCCCGTACTTCCACAGCAGGGCTAGACGACAAGCATCAGCGAGCACATGTGTCCAATACTTTTCCCAATATGGGTTTACCTGAAATATACAAACAACAATAAAGATGAGTTTCTCAGTAAACGCCTCTTTCCTGGTTCTGCACCCGTCAAACGATGTGCCAAGAAGCGCCCACACATCACTGGTCACGACCACACCAATCTCGATCTTTTTTTTTTTTTCCCCATCCTGACTCTTCTCCTAAAGCTACTGCATCCTCTGTGGAGCACCCCAGTGTGCTGTTTGGTAACAGGAATCCATCCATTGGAGAGGGGAAAGGATGTAACAGAGCAAGGCCTCTATAGCTAAGGAATCAGCAGAAAGGGTAACTTATCTGTTACTATGGGGCAGTAACATGTCTACTTCTGGTTGCCCTATTATAGAAAGGATATTAAGCTGGAGGGGCTCAGAAAAGATTTACCAGGATGTTGCTGGGAACGGAGGGTTTGAGTTATAAAGGAGAGGCTGGATTGGCTGGGACTTTTATCACTGGAGCTTAGGACGTTCAGAGGTGATCTTATAGAGATTTATAAAATCATGACAGTTATAGATAAGATGAATAGCAGGTGTCTTTTCCCAAGGCTGGGGGATTTCAAAACTAGGGAACATTATTTTAATGTGAAAGAAGAATAAGATTAAAAAAAAAGACATGAGGGGCATTTATTTTTAAACCTAGAGAATGGTTTGTGTTGGAATGAACTTTCTGATGGAGTGGTGGATACTGGTATAGTCACAATGTTTAAAAGACCTTTGGATAAATACATGAATAAGAAATGTTTGGAGGGAAATGGCCCAAGTGCAGGCAGGTAAGGCTAGTTTGGTTTGGGATTATGGTCAGCATGGACTGGGTGGATCGAAGGGTCTATTTCCCATGCTGTATGACGATGATCCTGACATCTAACCCAATAGCAGTTTGGATTGTCAGGTGCAACGGTTTGAATTATTAATTCAACATGATTGTTGCTTTCATGAGTTTTGAAATAAACAGCAGCCCTATTCAGTTTTCACCCTGGTGCTTTTCTAGCCTTTACGGATGTAGAGAGATGTTCAGTACACTAGCTTGCTGCATTTCCTTTACTAAAACCCATTCCGAGACCACAGGAAAATTTTTTTTGGGACTGAAGAAGAGAATTTCCGCAACAGACTGGTCCCAGCAACAAAGCCAAAGCAGCAAGATCTATAGAATCATAGAATCCCCACGGTGTAGACCAGTCCATTCAACAAGTCCACATCAACCCTCCAAACAGCATCCTTCCTACCCTATCCCAGTAACTCTGCATTTCCCATGGCTAATGAACCTAACCAACACATCCCTGGACACTATGGGCAATTTAGCATGGCCAATCCGCCTAACTTGCGCATCTTTGGACTGTGGGAAACAGGCGGAAAACCCACGCAGACATGGGGAAAATGTGCCAACTCCACACACTCAGTTGCCCGACGCTGGATTTGAACCTAGGTCCCTGGCGCTGAGGCAGCAGTGCTAACCACTGAGCCATCATGCCACCCCTTCTAAACATATGCACTCTTCGCAGGACAAGCTACTTCATTGATCTTCACCTTCACCAGTGGTTCCAAGCACCTGTAACACATCACACCACAGTCTACAGTTTCCTTGGACATGTCAAACGAGGAGGACAGCCAAGAGTTCTCCCACTCTCAATGAATGAACCAGACTGAAACAAACAAGAGAGAGGGTTCTACCTAATGCCCAGATCAATTTTTATCCTTGAACCACCAACACTAAAACAGATTGTCAGACCAGAACACACAGAACAAGTCCAGTGCTCTTAGAGTCCTAGAGATGTACAGCATAGAAACAGACCCCTCGGTCCAACTCATCCATGCTGACCAGATATCCTAAATTAATCTAGTCCCATTTGCCAGAATTTGGCCCATATCCCTCTAAACCCTTCCTATTCATGGACCCATCCAGATGCCTTTTATATAGTGTATTTGTACCAGCCTCCACCACTTTCTCTGGCAGCCCATTCCATACATGCACCACCCTCTGCATGGAAAAGTTGCCCGTTAGATCCCTTTTAAATCTTTCCCTTCTCACCTTAAACCACTGCCCTCCAGCTTTGGACTCCCCTACCCTGGGAAAAAGACCTTGTCTATTCACCCTATCCATGCCCCTCATGATTTTATAAACCTTTAAAGGTCACTCCTCAGCCTCTGACACTCCAGGGAAAATAGCCCCAGCCTATTCAGCCTCTCCCTATACCTCAAACCGGCCAACCTCAGCAACATCGTTGTAAATCTTTTCTGAACCCTTTCAAGTTTCACAACATCCTTCCTATAGCAGAGACACCAGAATTGCACAAAGTATTCCAATTGTGGCCTAACCAATGTCCTGTACAGCCACAACATGACCTCCCACATCCTGTACTCAGAGCACTGTCCAATAAAGGTGAGCACACCAAACATCATCTTCACTACCCTTCATAAAAGCAGGATCTTTCCTACCCATCCAAGAGAATAGACAAAGCTTTGGTTTAGACAGATCAACTAAGGAACTGCACAGTGAACACTGCAGCAAACCCTCAGTACTGCACTGGAATGTCAGTGTAGATCATACATTCCAATCTCTGAAATCTGGAAGGCATAGCTTATGGCATTATCATTGAACTGTTAATACAGAAACATGGGTAATGTTCCAGGGACCTGGGTTCAAATCCCACCACAACACATGGTGGAATTTGCATTCAATAAAAATCTGGAATTGAGAGTCTAATAATGACCACGAAACCATTGCTGATTGTCAGGAAAAGCCCATCTGGTTCACTAAATGTCCTTTATGTCACATCCTACACGTGGCTCCTGACCCACAGCTACATAGTTGACTCGTACCTGCTCTCTGGGCAATAAATGCTGGCCTAGCCAGCAACATCCTTGTCCTGTGAATGAACTTTTAAAAACTGGGGGCTTGTACTCACATTTGCTGATTTAGGGTCAAGAGTATTAATCAAGAAAACTAGGTCATTGACCAAATCGATTGATCTGCTTGGATCTCCTTACCTGTTCATACCAGGAGCTCAGCGGGGTCTCCCAAAACAGTGCTTTCGGTCTCAGAGGGAAAATAGTAACATTTCTCAATAAAGAAAGTGCATGAATAGCTTCATACTGCACGTGCGGATAGTGCGACAGGTTCCCACTGAATCCTTTCAGGAAGTAATAAACAGGTTTGTCAGGGTTTCTCAGACTGGCTGACTCCACTGAGCAAACAGCAAGTGCTGAGGGTTCCATGCTGTCTGTGGTCTCCACAAACATAATGCCAGGAGTTTTCATTAGTTCCGAGTAATCAAAATCCAAGGAGGCATCTTCCTTTGAATAGTAGGCCAGCAAGGAGCATAAACAACGTAAAAAATAAAGGCACAGCAATACAAAAACAGGAACAATCAGTAGCACTTTCTTAAATTTCTTCATAATTTTGAGCAGAGGCTTTCCTCCCCTCAAACGACGTTTCCCTGAAAACGAGAAGAGAGAGGATTCATGAAAAAGAAAAAAAAATCTCCAGCTGCTGTTTCACAACAAAAAAGGAAAATGACAGGATGTCCTAAATATAGAATGGCAGAATTCCAAAAACACAGGACCCGAAAGCCTGTCTTAACCACACTGGTAAACGTTTAACATTTTGGCATGAACCAAATTCTGTGGAATTCTCTGCCACAGAAAGTGGTTGAAGCCAAACTATTAAAGGTTGTTATCAAGAAACAGCTAGATATAGCTCTTAGGGTTGAAGAGATCAAAGAGTATGGGGAGAAAGCAGGAACAGGAGACGGAGTTGGACGATCATGTTGATTGGAGGAGCAAGTTTGAAAGGGTGAATGGCCTACTCCTGCTCTTGTTTTCTCTGCTTCTCTGAAATTAAAACTGGGGCCAGCAACTATCAACTTCAAAATCGGACACAGGAAACACGAACGGATGAGTTTCATTGCATTCCTAGAGAATTCCTCTCTCCTCCATTTAAAAAAAAAGGGGCCATCATCTCATTGAAATTAGCAAGAAAGGGAGGGGGTGAGGTAGTTCTGTTCAAGGACTAGGAAATGATTAGTACAGTTGAGAGAAGAGAGCTTGGCTCAGAAGATCAAAGTGTAGATTCAATCTGGGTGGAAGTAGCAACAAGGGAAAGAAGGTGGGGAACAGTTTACAAGCTACATAACACTAACTATGTTGTAGGAGAGGGTGTTTATTCAAACATAATGTGGGTTTCTAAGAAAGGTTCCACAATAGTTGTAGGAGATTTTCACCATTATATAGATTGGATGAATCAAATTGACAAAAAAAAAAAAGTTATCCTGGATGAAGAATTGAGGCAGCGTATTTGGAGCAGTGTGTTCTGGAACGTACCAGAAGCCTGGCTGCATTACCAGAGAATTCACCTGACTTAACTTCTTCTCAAATCGGATAAGGAACACTAAACCTTGCTTTGAAGGGATCTCCTACCACTGCTAACAGCACCAATACTTTATCCCCATGGGTAAACATACAAATTTTAGATTTCTTATCTGCTTCTTGCTTCATTAGATGCTGTGCCACCTTCAGGTGTGGTCTAGCTAATTCACTCACTATGAACCAACTCAGATACACAACCCAACTGTGGAGATCTCAGACCTATCAACTTTTCCTTAATTAATTTTAAAGGCCCTCTTACTTCGTGTCCAAGTATCAACTCAGATGCAGTAAATTCAATTCATTTGCAGCATCTCTACTGGCAAATAATATAAATGGGATACCTTTATCCCAATCATTTGGGCAATCATGTCAATAAGCCCTCAGGCATTGTCGTCAGGGTCTGCTGTCACCTTTCCAATGCTCCCTGGGATTCAGGATGGTACACACTTGTTTTAAAGTGTTGGATGCCTAAACAATCTATGACCTCCTTAAATAACTTGGCGGCAAAATTGGACCCTTGGTCTGACTGAATCTCCCTGGGTAGTCCATAATGGGTAAAGAAAGCAAGCAACTCCTCCATAACCTTTTTTGCCTTGACATTCTGAAATAGAATTGCCTCTGGAAACCTGATAGACACATCCATTATGGTTAGCAAATACTGGTTTCCCGTTTTGGTTTTAGGGAGGGGACCTACACAATCAATTATAACCTGTGTGAAAGGTTCTTCAAATGCAGAAATTAGCAAAGGTGCTGATTTTATTACTGCCTGTGGCTTTCCTACTATTTAACACGTATGACAGGTACAGCAAAATTCAACCACACCTTTATGTAATCCAAGCTAATAGACTTGCTTTTGTATCTTAGCCTGAGAGTCTTCCTCACTCCCAGACAACCTCCTACAGGTAATTTGTGTGCTACCCACACTATTTCCTGCCTATATACTACAAGCAACACAATGTGGTGCATTTCCGCCCATTTCTCCTCTGTACTAACCTGCTGCAGTCTCTATTTTCACCCTATGATTCTATCCTTAAGGTAATAACATTCAGAAATACATGGATTCCTTTTCAGAGCAGGCTTTAATGATATAAACCTTTTGCTGTCTCATCCTTTTGTCGTAACTCCATTAATCTTTCAGAACTAAACACCTGTGCCTGATCTTCTACCTGTTCAGGTTTTTCCTTTCCCATTTCATCAAACAGGGCATCAGCTAATTGGACCTCAACTCCCTCAGCTCTTTGGTTTTTCGTTCTTGCTGTAATTTATGCCTGTGGGATCTTGTTACCACACAGTTGGAAAAGTTCCAGGGTATATTTCTTTAACTCCTTGGTTTTCCTTCGGCTTCCCTACTACAAGGGGGCGTCACTCCCATCTTTGATCCTGCTAGGTCATTTCCAAGAACAAACTGTATTCCTGGAATAGACACTCTTTCAATCACTCCCACTGTCACTTCCCCAGTCTTGATTGGACTTTCTAGCCTTCTCTCTCTCTCTGTCCCACAGATTACCAGTCTCTTAGATAACACTTCAGAAGGAGTGCAAATACTTTCATCTCTAATAGTAAGAGACTGCTTAGCTCCTCTACCTTTCAATATTTCAACTTTTCTTACCTTCTGCCTCATTCTTCCTGAGTAAACCTTACCCACAAGAGGTGAAATCTTTGTAGCGATCAGGCACCATCTTACTATCCAGCCTACGAGTAGGCTGTGCATTCTACTGCAGCTCCTTGAATTCTGTCATTTCCTTCCTGACCTTAAATAATTCCACTGGTTTAGCCTCTTTTACCACTGCCTTTCTTAAACCACCAGCACTGTGACTTTGTGTCCCACTCCATTACAGCGAAAACACTTGAGGCCTTTCACCTCTGTAGGAGCATACAGCCCCTCATCCCAACCAGGGACAAGACTCAGGAGGCAGGCAGGGTTCAAGCAAGTGGAAGACTTTTCAAGCAGCAACTGGTTAATGCAGGGAGAGGGCCAAAGGATCTTCCCCAAATCTGGCTTCAGTGTGAGAAAGCAATTTTTCCCTTAATCTTTGGCTCAGATCAGAAGAGAGATCAATGACACTGACTTTTACTGTGAAATACAGAATTTTTATACATTTTATGTTACAATAATGAAACACAGCATAGTCACTGTCCTTTCCCCTTAATCCATACACACAATCCCATGGGATACCTAAATCAATGATGGGCATTCCTATGGACAGTCCCAAATTCCCATGATCTTATGGTATTTACCAGACATCGTATTTGCTAGGCCTTGGGATCTTTCCATGTATCCTGTTTATTCACATTCCAAAGTTATTCGCAATCCAAAGTTACTTTGGATCGGTCACAGGCTTGCTTTTCTTTAAGGACAGTTTGCATTCTGTTACTCCTTGTATTCCATGTGCTGCCTCAATCAAGTTCAGTTACTCCTCTGATATTTCCCGCTGTCCTATTTATATATGTAAAAATACAAAAGACAGCTAGTTTTAACTTTTACAAATCTTATAGCAAGTAGTTGTTATAAAGTGTAAAGTTATACAGCTACTTCTACTGTAAGCTCTTTGTAATTAATGGGCTGTGAACAATCTATTCTGTTCAGCACGTAAAGGAAGGCGTTTCCCAAGTCTAATTAAATTTCACATCTAGGTTTAAATGCTTTTCTCCCAATGCTTGTATTATACTTATATTCTTTATGTTGAAAACTGCTATGATTATCTAAAGAACCTTTAATTAGAGCCTATTTCTTAATATTGAGTGGCTTCAAAGAAACAACTATTTATCAAGAAATAACTTTAGCTGTTGTCTTTTGTAGCTGTTTAGGGCATTAATCTGGCTGGTTCATGGACTGGGATTCACATCTGGTGTTATTCATTTACTGGGGCAATCATTCTTTCATTAATGAGGTTTGAATTAATTACTCGACTGTTCTTAGACATCGTCTCATCAAATCTGTCTCATATGGTTGGTGGTAAGGCTCTTTTGCTGACCTTGAAGTAGTCTTGTTCAAAAGGTACCATTATGTTTCACTTACATGTTACAGCAGGCTGTCTGTCCCATTTTGTTTTAATTCTTGTCAAGTCATTTTGTGTCTTTCAAACATGGGCTACTTTGGCATAAACAGGTACAGGTCACATAAGAACATATGAACTAGGAGCAGGAGTAGGCCGTCTGGCCCTTCGAGCCTGCTCCGTCATTCAATAAGATCATGGCTGATCCTTTCGTGGACTCAGATCCACTTACCCGCGTTCTCACCGTATCCCTTAATTCCTTCATTGTTCAAAAAAAACTACCTTTTTTTTAAAAAACATTTACTGAAGTAGCGTCAACTACTTCACTGGGCAAGGAATTCCATAGATTAATAACCCTCTGGGTGAAGAAATTCCTTCTCAGTTCAATCCTAAATCTGCTCCCTCTAATCTTGAGGCTATGCCCTCTTGTCCTAGCTTCACCTGCCAGTGGAAACATCCTCTCAACTTCTATCTTATCTATGCCCTTCATAATTTTATATGTTTCTATAAGATCCCCCCCCACATCCACAACCTCCTTTTCATCCTAAATTAAAAAAAACGAAAGAACCTCGGATGCTGTAAATCAGGAGTGAAAAAAATACAGAAGTTGCTGGACAACCTCAGTGAGTCTGGCAGCATCTGTGAAGAAAAAAAAAGTTAATGTTTCGGGTTCGGTGACCCTTCCTCAGAACGGTTTTGAGGAAGGGTCACCAGACCCAAAACATTAACTCCGATTTCTTTTCTTCACAGATGCTGCCAGACCTGCTGAGCTTTTCCAGCAACTTCTGTTTTTGTTCCTTTTCATCCTCATGGTTTTCTTTCATCACCTGTGGTAAACTGTTCCCAGTGTGATCTACTTTTTGTTTTTCCACTCAACAACCTCCCTTCCGCCCCCAAATTTCTGTCCCTCATGGAATGAAATTGCTGTCAGAAGCTAAATTTTGACTTATGCACTAATGTGTACTCATTTGCCATCTCAGCTCTTCTCATTCTTTGAACTTTCTGTTCCTCAACAGGAGTTCTTATTTCTGGAAGTGAGTTTTTGAACAGCTCCAGCAGAATAATCTAAGATCCTCAGAGGTCTTTTCTATCTTTAATGCTCTCACCTGTCCATCCAAGTTGCTATGTTTAATTCTTTCAAATGCGACATAAGTCAGACCCAGTTCCTTATTTATATTTGTCCTTATGCTTCTGGTAAAAATTCTCAGGCACTCAAAATAGTTTGTTTCACTCCTTCATCGTCTCCCGACACCTTCCCTGACAGTGCCACAAACTTCTCACTAGCCCTGCCTACCAACTTGAAGGCAGATTAGATTTATTTGTCAAGTGTATTAAGTATAGGAATACGCAAGATAATTCACTGGCACCTACTTGGTTACAAAAAGCAGAATTAAAAAGGATTCAACAAAGCCAAAGGTAAGCAAGAAGAAGGAAAAAAGATGAAAAGTACACAATCTGAGTCCCAAGTCCCATCCCCACAATGGTGCAGGCACCACTCCAATCGTTAGGTCACCCAGGAGGCCACCGCCGCCGCAGCAATGCGAAAGGCCCATTCTCGCCGCCAAACCGGCCTACACTCAATCTGCCGCCATCACTCCGGCCACTGCATGATACGGCCTGCACATTCAGCTCCCACCAGTGTTTCCCGGTCGTGACCCAAATGCTTAGGTAGGGAGTTAAAAGGGTGGGGGTTCGGGGGAGGGATAGAATTACGACGAAGACGAAAGCAGTGTGGAGCTCCGAATGGAGCGACTTACCCTGCCACCATCTTGCCAGCACTTGGTCTGAATTGACATTACCCATACAGCCTCTGGCCAATTGAATTTATAAAGTGAATATCAGGGATTTTCTTTCATTTAACTAGTCAATTTCTCAAAGGAAATGAAAAAGGCTTCTATATCTTTTTCATCGAATTTTGGTAATGTTTGAACATACTTACATACACGCCTACCAGACTGTTGGCTACAATGAGTTTGCTCTTCCTCACTTCTATTTTGTCCTTTTCCTTCTGCCATTTGAAGCCTTTCTACTTCTAGTTCCAACTACATCTTTTCCAACATGAACATTCTCTCCCTTTCCTCTCTCTCTGTTTCTCCTCTGCTTGTAACCATAATTCAAATTGTTTCAATTCCCTCTCATTCTCTAACTCCAGTTTTCTTATTTACAATTTAATTTTTTCTAGCTCCCCAGCACTTTCCTGTTTCTCTGGTACACCTAAATGCTTGACCACCTCCTTTACAATTTCAGCTTTCCTCTTGTCCCTAGTTAAACCCAATTCTAGCCTGTTTGCTAATTCTAAAATTATACCCTTCCTCTGTTTTTCTAAACTTTCTTGGGAAATATCTTCAAATCCCAGAACCTCTTTAGCAATGTTAAGAGGCATTTCCCTCATCTTTGATTTTAATCAACCACAAGTAACCAAAATTAAACCGATTTTTCTCACTTTCTTTAAAAAGATTTTTCTTTTTAAAAGATCTAGGACACTGATCCCCAAGTCCGCTTAAATGTGTCCAAATCTGTTCAGATCCCATACACAAACTGGCCAGATCCTGGAACGAGCCCTCTAACTGTTATGGAGAAGGGGAAGGTAAATGAAAGAAAATCCCTGATATTCACTTTATAAGTAACAGGTAACAGTTCATTTATTTAACTCCGAAAGTGAACAAATTAACAGTATTACTAACAAACTGAAGATTCCCCCTTAACTCGTAACTCTTCATAACTGAAGAAAATTCTACTGTGTATTTATTGGAACAGCATAAGTCCCACTTCCATAAACCCAAGTAATAAGAAAACTGAATTAAAACTTTGAGAAACTAAGGCTACATGCCTTTCTTCCTTCTGCTGTTCTCCAGTCATAAACACCTTTCTTCCACTGATCTGGCTGTCAGGGATATTTTTCTGTTAAATCTTCTGGGAGGACTCTTAGCTAGAAGGGCTGTGTACCTTTTATGGATAGAGGTGCTTTCTTAAAGAGTTTAGCATTTTCTTGTGAGAGCTAGATGCTCATTTCTCAGATTGTGGTTCACTCTCACACCAATTTTCAAAAACCCTTTCCTTGTAAACCTTGGATGACATATCAATTTTCTTACAATAGCATTGGTCTGCAGATTGTCAAAACCATCAGATTGAAAGCCAATTGAATTTCAATCGCTAAGTGCTTGGTTTAAATTAGTTGGCTGATTCCAGCTAGTTGCCAAAACATCAAAATAAGCCTCAGGTTTCCAATCACACAACCAATTGAAACATTTCCATTTCGGAACTGGCTGTACCTCTTCAGCTATATACAGAAAAAGTGCCCGTATGAATTTCTAAGCTTAGAAAAGCAGTTTACCTTTTAAGAACTGCAGGCTCTTTTCCCCTTCCTTAAAAATATTCTAGCTTCCTGCCTTCCAATTCACAATTACTCTACCCAGCGTCGTAACAGTAATCACAATGATATTAGAATGGATAACAAGGTGTAGAGCTGGATGAACACAGCAGGCCAAGCAGCATCAGAGGAACAGGAAAGCTGACGTTTCAGGCCTAGACCCATTTCAACGCCCCCTCCCATTCCTTAGACAACATATCCATCCTGGGCCTCCTGCAGTGCCACAACGATGCCACCCAAAGGTTGCAGGAACAGCACCGCATTTCACTCGGGAACCCTGCAGCCCAATGGTATCAATGTGGACTTCACAAGCTTCAAATCTCCCCTCCCCCTACTGCATCCCAAAACCAGCCCAGCTTGTCCCCGCCTCCCTAACCTGTCCTTCCTCCCACCTATACCCTCCTCCCACCTCAAGCCCCACCCCCATCTCCTACCTACTAGCCTCATCCCACCCCCTCGACCTGTCCATCCTCCCTGGACTGACCTATCCCCTCCCTAACTCCCCACCTACACTCACCTTTACTGGCTCCAACCCCGCCACTTTGACCTGTTTGTCTCCTCTCCAGCTATCTTCTCTTATATCCATCTTCTATCCGCCTCCTCTCTCTCCCTATTTATTTCAGCATGTCCCCCCCTCCCCCCCGATTTCTGAAGAAGGGTCTAGGCCCGAAACGTCAGCCTTCCTGCTCCTCTGATGCTGCTTGGCCTGCTGTGTTCATCCAGCTCTACACCTCGTTATCTCAGATTCTCCAGCATCTGCAGCTTCTACTATCTCTGATATTAGAATGGATACTATGGACTGTGAAAAGGAGAGTTTTAAAAGGTGGCAGATATTTCATAACTGAAAGAGTGTCCCATTAGGAAATAAAACAGTGTGAATGACATATCATTGTGATTAATGTAGGAGGTACAGGGTGGCAAATTGTGGAAGCAGAAAATTTACAGGTTTACCAAGTTTAGTTGTGGGCCAGATGATGATGAGGATAGTTTAGAAAAAGGCAAGAAAAGGAAAAATTAGGGGAGTAAGCTAAAAAAGATAAACAAATAGTAGGAGCTTTCAGTCATATGAAC